ATTCGTTTGTATTGTGCTATAAATGTTATATTTAAAGAAGTACTGTTATGATAAAGATACTAATTTGGCTGGAAATGTTTTGTGGGTCTCTGTTAGTTTTTATTTAATTAAATAATGCACCAAAGAACATGAACTAGTCACATGCAAAAAGCAGACAATTTCCCCTAAATCTCAAAATTTTTCTGGCTTTCTAACTATGCGAAAAAGCCATCAAAAATTCATCAAAGCTAGTCATTAGCTTCTCCATGAGAACTGAGCTTGTGCTCTGAGTAAAATTGATGATTATCTGTTCAGAAAACAATGTAATATAATATGTTTTTATAGAGAAAAACCTTGGCTTTCTATTGGTTATATATAATATGGAATTAAACGTAAGAGAGAACTATTAACAAAGTTATACTGAAAGAGAGGATGTGGCAGGAGGGGTTTGATTTTCTATTTGATAGCTCTGAAACCAAACAAAATTGAAGTCTATAAAAAATTATGGTTTGTCTGAGCAATGATGATTTTATAGTGAGTAACTTACATTTAATTTCATTATTTTTTGGAGGGGTGATTGATAAAATAGAGAAAAGATGCCTAGAGATAATGTGTCACACACTACAGGAAATTCAGAATTTTTGTAGAATTAAGAACTTAAAATTTATATGCTATTAAAATATGGATTATTAGCTAAGATTTCATGCCATACTAATTGGTATAACATAAACAAAAAGTAGCTTAATAAAATTTTTAATGTAAGATGCTTAAACCTTGTGCCATGCACAGTAAAGGATACCCATGGCAAAAGTGTTATTGTCATCATAGTTATCTATGAAAGCAGAAATGTATGTAAATAATTAATATACAGATGTCTTTAATGACAATTCAAAAACCACAATAATCTTGTACAGAAATGTTGTATTCTGTCTACTTCACAATAAAAAAAGCTATTATTTTTTAGGATTTAATGAAAAAAAAAAACACTAAGTCAGAGATGTAACATTGGAGATGATATTGGAAACTGATAAATAAATAAATAAATTTCTGAACTAATAAAAAAGATACCAAAAGCATGGAATATTTTGAGTGGTGTGGATAATAGTTTTAACCATGGAAAAAGGGCTAAGTATGTGTAGCATATTTATAATTCCATTAAGCCTTGAGTGGTTCCAAGAGAAAATATGGGGACAGTTTTTATAATTTCACTCACTGCACTTAGAATTTAGTTGAAAAACAAACACTTTTTTTTTGCATTGAAATTAATCACTAGTAATTTTTATGTTATATGACAAATAGAATTACATGGATTGAGTATAGAAGTGTGAAATAGCCACAAAGATTTAAATTTGTTAACTGTTTCAAAACAACACATAATCAATTGCTAGTTTCTCACAAAATGTTTTGAAAGTGACATATAAACCACCACTGAGAACCTCTAAACAAAACCATTCATGGTAACAGATATATCACTGCTTCCTACCTATTAAAAAAACGTTTCCAAGAAGCCTTTGTTGCCGATGTCCAGACCCATGATGACATAAGCACTCCAGTCCCAAACATTGCTAGTACATGTAGTTGTAGAGTCATAATATTTGGATGACTCTTGGCTTTGCACTCTTTCAAAGTTTCACCATTACTTCTACTTGCTAAAGTAATGTTGGCAGCACAGCTAGAGAAAAACAATTGTTCAAAAGTGAATGAATAGAAAAAAATTAGGATGTTCCATTTGTTACTTTTTTTTTCTTTTTCTTTAAACTTACACAAACAAAAAATTAAATACAAAAAAACTAAAGTACTGGTCAAATTAATCTCATACTTACATTACAAAATCTTCCATACTTGCTATCCACTTAGCCTGGTTTAGAAACTCATAAACATGACAACCAAATGTACAGAATGCCAACAGAAACACCAGAAATGTAAAAGTTCCTGTAAAAAAATAAAATATAATAATCACAGAAGATGTGACAAAACTGGGGTTGGGTTGTTCCATGATTTTGTTTAGTATTTCCAAATTTTCTGTAAAACTGAAAAATGGATAAAAAGAAGCATAAGATCATTTCATAAAAGAATACTCTTTGCACTCAGTTTCAATATGGGAAAGAAATATCAGGGAGATCATGGATTTTGATACAGGGAAATTGAAAATGTAACTGATTTTGAGCAGAAAGAAGGAACACATGATTACAAGTTACTGATAGCATAAAAATGCTTTTTAGGAATGATATGTGTAAAACATAAGTGAGAATTTTGTTCAGTTATAGGTGGTGATATTAATGTTGCAGCAAACATAAAAGACATTACTTTATCTTGACCTCAATAGACACGTGATGGGTGGGTATGTGAATGTGTTGCAAGGTATGTAGCCTACAAATTAAACTATTTTAGTTTATATTTCAATATTTACCTGATCATTATTTTGTCAATGAAAATTTGCTGATCATTACATTTTATAAACAATCACCCATGTAATGCTTATTTATAAGTCTGTTGTGTGTTACTGAAGTAATTATGTAACTGCTTTCAATTATAAAGTGTTCAGACACCGAATAAATAATTTCACAAGTTTCTCTCAGAAAACACAACTTTATACATTATATTACTATATGCAATACAGGAGATAATTATGTGTTCTCTACCCTGTTAATGTGTACAATGTTTAAACATTGGTTTTCTTCAAGTTGAGTTTGAAGGAAAACAAAAAGAGAGTTGCTTAAGCAAACAATTCAACTTCTTGTTTTAACTCCACATTGAACCAGCATCATTGTCATTGTTTATTAATACAGGTAGGTCAAAGTGCACATCATGACTTTTTAGTTACATTCAAAATTTAATTAAACTACTTTATTATTACTGTATACAAATAAACTTGGCATCAAAATGTAATTGATACATTAAATTTTAATAAAAGCTTTATGTTCTTAATTTTATAAGGAAATATTCAAAAAAGTTCTCAATATCCCCTAATACAAGGATTGTAACATTTGCTCTCTAAGTTTTCCCTCTTCTCATATTTATTTACCATCCCTCTGAGAAGTACAAAATTTAACACTAATTACTCATTATAATACAGATATTACTCTGGCAAAGAATGATGTTTATAACCTTCAACCTTATTTGTTTAGAGAGCCAAAAACTAGAAAACCAGACCCACTTGCCATGCCCACCTGTCACACCCTTTTTTTTACAAATTGTCAATAGTTCTCTCTGACATTTTATACAATATTATTTACAACAAATAGAAATAAAAAGTTCTAATCTATCAAGTTAAATTTTACAACATGTTGTTTTCTGTAAGAGTATTGTCTATTTCACCACCAATTTGAAAATTTATCTCCCAGTATTCACGTTGAAAATTTTTAAAGGCTCTCATCACAGTTAGAAAGCCAGGTAAATTATGATAGTTATAGGACATTGTTTGCTTTGTGAGTGTTATTACTCTATAGTCTTGGATGTATTACTTAATTAAATAAAAACTATTTTGTGTACTAGTTTCATTAGTATACAAATAGTAGGTTTAACTTTCATCAACGGTTGATAACAACAAACAAGTGGACACAGGTAAGTATCATATTTCGTTTGATATTTATTCAGGAAGTCTTAGAGATTAAGCAAATGAAATTTGACAATTTTCTGGTGAAGAAAACTATTTTTACTCTCAACACGAAAATCACTTGAATCTGATTTTTGTGTACAAAAGACTTGTAATGTTTAATAAAAGCTTGCTACATTCCATGAAGATACACAAAACATATTAAAAGTTACAGTATGGAACCTCTGATGGTCACTTTGGGGTCATAAGATTGCTGTATAAACAATCAACCAGTCATATGAAAACATGTTGCAATATGCATTTTCTGCCAAGTATTTGAAGTATCTTTCTGCAAAGTGAGTAAATTTACATAAATTTCAAAGAAAAGTCCCATCCATTCACTGTCGATCAATGTCATAAAGCCCTTGTTTAAATTATCCAATAAAATGTATTTTAAGCTGCTTTTCTTTTTTCAACAGCACCAATGACAGACATTTTCATGTAAATTCTCACAGACTATTTTAACCAGTCAAGTACACACAAATGAAATGTAGAGTTAAATTAGAAACTAATTTTCTTAAGATATTATGCAACAAAACACTGTTTATCAATGATTTGTCACAATAAGACTACACTTACCTGATTTCAACAAATCCTATTTATATATAATTTTAAATGTTATAAAAGCAACAAAAAATCTGACGAAATAAAGGAGTTGTCCTAATTTCCTAAAATAAAAATTAAACTTTGAAGTTTAATAGCATTAACCCTCAAATATCCAGTTCTATAGTTTTATCAGTAAGTTAAACAAACAAGCTTATCAATCTTTATCATCCTATCTTCTAGTTTTTCACCAACATAATTTTAACATTACATATTATATAAACATAAAAAAAAATATTTACATACCCATTCGTATGATCATGTGGCGTATTCTGATGTTTGCTTCCTCACTTACAACTTCTGCACTACCTAATTTCACTTTAACTAGAGTAATTAAACCTACGAAGAAAAAATAAATCAGAGAATTAAACGTTATGTTACAGTTTTTTCTAAAGATTATTTTCCAGTTATTAACTATATCATGTAAAATTTGAACCTTTCATATTTTTTATTTGCTGAGATGTTAGTAACTTTTTCAAACTCATCAAAAATGCCCCTCTCATTTTGTTGTAGCTTCTATACGTAGGTTTGTAACCCAGAAAGTGCATATTTAATGGACATGTTTATGATCAATATAAAGAGAAAAATTCAATATATCACCCTCTTAGATTCATTTGTTTAGTTTTGGCAGTTTGCAAGAAAAGCTTAATGTGTGTCATAAAGTCATTGCTCCAGTAGTTATGTAATTTTGTTAGCTTGGTTATAGCTTAGTTAGAAAGCCAGATAAACTGTAGTGATTTGAGGGCGTATTATTCTAGTGCTTGATATACTTTTTGGTTCTAAAGTACATATTTATAATTACATGAATTATGTTTTGGACAACCAAAATAATGAGAAAGAGTAGTGTTATGAAAACACAACACCTAACAGCAAACAGGCTAAAGTAAATGCTAAATTTCTTCATCTTTGTATTTTTTTATTTACTGTCACATATTTTAAACAAAAATAACATATATAAAAAAATGAGGTTAGATAAAAAAAAACTTCAATGAAAAAATTCAGGAAAACATTTCTCATGATCACTCAAGAAAAGCACTCATTATGTGATCACGTGATTGTAACCTGATTATCTATTTATTATACTAAGCTGTCCATCTGCAATATATTTCTTTTCACATATGTGAGAAAGTCTAAAGTACACTATAAAGCAAAAAATTAAAATAAGTCATATGTAAAAAATTAAAAGTTGAGGTTGTTAGGATAAATCATTGTAGTCATTCTACAGAAGGAAAAGGTATTTTTAATTTTATTTCATATTTTTCAACTTTTCAATTCATTGTGTATTGATTATTTCACTGCAGTTAGTGTTAAGGTAGAGAAAATAAGACAAAACAAAGTTTTAACAAAAAAGAAACGTTTGATATTCATTAAGGACATTCTAGATTTTACACAAATTAAATATGACAACTGTAAGATAAAAAGAAGTATTTTTATTCTTAGCATGAAAATCATCTTTCACTCAAACTGACTCAGTAAAGGCTTCACAAATTCAAAGATAAATCTTAAGCAAATATTCTTTATTAAAAATCTGATTTTTTGTTTAGAAAACACCTGTAATTTTTAATAAAAACTTTCTAAATTTTGTGAAGAAAACTTAGTACATTTGGTTAGTGTGTATAGTTTTATGGTGGTCAAACTGACCTAACTCATATGCATAGGGTTAAAATGTTATTATAAATAAGAAATAAAAACTGGAGAAAAAATATAGAAACTTCAACTAAAAACTAACAGCAACTAAAATTGTGCAAAGTAGTTAGACTAATCAGTATTATGTAATGTCAGAAAAAAAAAAAATCCCAAAACAAATCAAGAAATGTACAAATTAAAAAAAAATCTAAACACACTGTAAATTAATGAGGGATTTCTTAAAAAAAAATGTCTAAGTGATGAAGTGACCATATTTGATTCACCAAGTAAAATGGTCAACAAATTATAATAATAATTTAGTTACAGATCCATGTTCATTATACAAACATTCCCCACAAAAACTACAGAGATCTTGATACAAGGAGAAACATCTGAGGTTTTTAGAATAAACTGACTGAAAAAATACACTCAATGACATGTTCCAACACTCACGATTTGTATGATTTTATCATACTTAATAATCTTTAATGCCAATGTGATTTTTTTCATAACAATAATCTAATAATGCTCTTTTTTATTATATTTATTAATGGCATCATTCACATGAATGGTCCACTCAGCTAGTCTTGCTGGACATAGACAACATGCAGATATACTATGCCCAGTGACTAGTTGAATTACATTAACTCTCTCAACACAGGCTCAGTCAATTTGACCAACAACGTGACCTCTTTGTACTTGTTCAAAGTATTTATAGATTTGATAAGACTAACTGTTAAAATAGTGTGTATATCTTCACAAAAATGTGGCAGTCTTTCAGTAAACATTATAAGTCTTTCACATACAAAAAATAATATTTTTTTAGTGAAGTATTTTTAATAAACTAAAAACATATTTGTCCTTGAATATAGAGTATTTGTTTCGAATAGTCTGTGTGCAAATTGATTTTCATGTTAAGATTAAAAATACTTTTCCTCTTCTCAAAAATATCAAAATTTATTTTTGTAATCTCTAAAACCTCCTAAATAACATTTCAAATGTTTGTTTTCAGTAAAACTTTATATTTTATGTGTAATTTTCTCTACCCTAACTCTATACAAGGTTAGTCAATTTGACTTACCTCGTACCCCCCAAATAAAACTGAAATAAATCTAAATTACCCTCTTTCTTTCAAATGTAGAGAGAAACTACATTCGTTTATCCTAAGTAGCTTTAAACTTGTAAAATTATACATCTATTTGTAATTAAATTTTATTGTTTTATTGCCTTTTGAACCGTGTCTAACTACTATCCAAGCCATTATAAGTTATTGGTTTATCCTAAGTAGCTTTAAACTTGTAAAATTATACATCTATTTGTAATTAAATTTTATTGTTTTATTGCCTTTTGAACCGTGTCTAACTACTATCCAAGCCATTATAAGTCGAAAGTCACTCGGGAAAGTGCAGCTCATGTTACACTATCAAATTACATTACCCACAAGCTACTCCGAGCTGCTCGCGTGCAGGCCTCATGAAATATTTTTATTATATTATTATTATTGTTATATTTCACCTTATCTAGCCTTAACTAACTAAAGAGATTCCTATTTTTACATTAAGGTTACTTTTATATCAATAAATAAATGATAAACATGAAAAAATAGAAATAAAGTACTTACACGAGTATTTTATTTATTTTTTGCTGTCGACTATCAAAGACACTTAACCCTACTTTTTCTTTTATACTAATTGTAGTATTTCATTAAATAATGCACCAAACAACATAGACTAATAATATCCAGAGAGCAGACAATTTCCTCTAACAATCACAATTTTTCTGGCTTTCTAACTATGCAACGAGAGCCATTACAAATTCATCCAAGCTAGCTGTTGTGATTCCCATAGAAACCAAAGTGGTATTACAAGCGAAATTGACAATTATCTGTTCAGACCACAACGTAATATAATACATCATTTGATAGATAAAAACCTTGGCTTTCTACTGGTTATAGATAATATATAATTAAATGTAAGAGAGAACTATTAACAAATCCTGAATGAGGAGATGTGGCAGGAGGGGTTTGATTTTGTATTTTATAGTTCTTTAACAAAACAAAATTGAAGACTATAAAAATTATGGTTTGTTTGAGCAATGACGATTTTATAGTGACTAATTTACATTTAATTTCATAGTTTCTGGAGGGGTGGATAAAATAGAGATGATAAGATACCTAGAGAAAATGTGTCACGTGTGTCACACTAGGGGAAATTCAGGTTTTTTTAAATACTGCCTTGTAGAATTAAGAACTTAAAACTTATATTCAATTAAAATATGGATTATCAGCTAAGATTTTATGCTATACTAATTAGTATAACATAAACGAAAAGTAGTTTAATAAAATTTTGAATGTAAAACACAAAAACCTTGTGTCATATGCAGTAAAGGATACCCATGGCACTAAGGTTAAATGACAAGTTTCATGCAGATAGACGAAAAATTATAAACCTATATAATATATTCATAATTTGATATTCAGTATAATCACATCTGGTATACATATCCTTTTCAACTTACTTTATAAAAGTATTTTATTCATAAAATTTATAAGAATTATACTGTCCAATCTGTTAACAATATGACAACAAAAATCCTCAGATCATACCAAACTTTAAAACAAAAAGGAACAACTGGATTTCCTGGCTGTCAACTTTTTCATAGTGCAAAGAGAAAATTTTAATAAATAGCAACAAAACAGAGGCATCAATGGAAAATATTAATGTCACAGAAATGCATAGCATAGGATAAGTTAAAAAATAAGTGAAGAAAGGAAAAAATTAATTCTATAAATTAAAATCCAATGACTAGCTAAAAACAATGTTTGAATTTTTGAAACGTGTATGTGTATATAAACACATATATACATATATCATACACCTTGTTTTATTCTTTCTTTCGACTTTTACAATTAAAATTATTTGCTCTTTACAAACCAGTTTTGTAGTTTTCACTACTTTTCAGCTCTTCTTATTTTCACCTTAAAAACAATGCAATTTAAATATAAAATTCAAAATATAATATTTAAATACAAAAATACAAATCACAAATTAAAATCACTGCAAACTATATAATCCCTGATTAAAATTATAGATATAGATTAGTTCATAATAAAATATAAACTGTGTAATTCTAGTATAACTTTCTAATATACTTAAAAATTCCAATAAACTACAAAGTTAAAGATTAACAATTATATAACTTATACAAAATTTAATACAGCACTTACTCTACTTGTACAGTAATCTATTGTATATTAATATATTTCTGTAAAATTTGGAAAATACTACTTTATATATTAAGTTTCATCTATGACTTAATATTAACTGTTATTCAAGGAGACTTTGAATTTTTATAATCAAATGCTTTCATATTCCAATCTCATTTTATTGTTACATGACCAACAAGGAAATATTTTAAAATAACGTTATTTTAAACTTTCAAACTGTTTATCAGGACAACTGTAATAATTTGCACTAGCTGGCATTAGTCTTAAGTGTGGGTTTCTCATATGATATTTATATAGATTTATTCTAATTTTTAAATTTTCTTTTCCTCCCACATACAGTTCTCCACATATTATACAATGTGGACATAAATAATATATTTTGAATCACAGTTAAAAGTAGAATTATATACGAAATAAAATCTACTTGGTAGAATCTGGGATATACATTTTATTTCTATAGATCGTTTAAGGTATAATTGTCACTTTC